CGCTTTCAGGTGGGCTTTCTTCCCTTTGGGTTGTCAAGAACTCATAGAAATTTTGATCTTCCGTTCGAAATTTGTGTTCGTAATACGAGATTTGAGAGTTCCCGACTTCTGGGTTGATATCCAGCGATTGGAAAGACTGAGGCGATGATGTTGAAGAGTCTGCAACAGATTCAACATCCATTAAATCTGCAACCGATGTCTCGAGGCCATCTAGACTGGGTCCGCTTCTGAGGGTCTCGATCTGCGGAAATAATGGGTTGGCGGTTCGGGGTGATGGGCTGATTAGTAATCCAGACAGGATATTCTGGAAGCCATCTTCGAGAGGCGTCAGGTTTGCTCCGAGAAAGGCACCGAAGACACAGCGGCGGACAAACCAAGAAGTCACATGGTTCGTCTTAGGGAACTCATCAATAAAGGATGGCAAGAATAAAGTTGATTTGTCATGTTCCTGGGCTTGCAGTTTTGGCAGACCACAGCGAGCTTGGGCTTTTACGGGTTTGCTTAAAGTAGGTTGTGTTGCTGTCTCGCAAGCAGGTCTAGCGGTCGCAAAACATTCCACAAGTCGATCAATCAGGCTCTCAAAAGTGTCAGCATCGTAACGATACCGGTCAGGTTTCCGAGCTTGAAGTAATGCGGTGCGCGCGATTTGATGGTCCGGGGAGGCATCAATTATTGTGTTAACCTCGGTCGATCTGAAACCCAAACGATGGGCAAGCTGAGCCATGTTATAGATGGCGTGCTGGTCGGCTGGAGCAAGTTTTGGTTTGGCTAAATGATGGTTCTGTTTCTTCGGATCGGGCGGCATCAAAGGGTAATGTCTCATAGCATACAGCCAGAGCTGGCAGTATGCGAAATTGAATTGCTGAGCACTCACCATGTGCACTTTCCGATACTCGTACTCGGCAATTTGAATAAGATAATCGTTTGTAGTATCCGAAGCCACAATGAATATTTGTTTCAATGCTTGATGAATAGATACCTCAGATGGACCTACCAGTCGCTTGAGGCAGTAGGCACAACTTTCCAGGTACTTAAAATCCTCAAAAAATGTGCGCAGTGAAGGTATGAGACCTTTGAATCCCTTGAGTCGGTCCCATATTTCTGTCCTCCTGTCTTCGTCGAAATCGGGAAATACTTGACCAGTCAAAATCACTTGTTGTGCGGACTTAGCATCATCGGGAGATGTGCCGGGCGCGAGTAATTCAAGCTTCTTGATTGTTTTCTGATCGATACATTTCTTTGCGTCTGTGTCATCATTAACCAGTGAGGACCAGAAGCGGTGGACATGGTTCAAGTAAGCACAAATTTCCTGTAAATGATGTTAGATGATATGAGATCCGAGAACAAAATAAGCAGTTTTCAGGCAGAAAGAAGGTATCAGGGAACAATGAAGACTTTGTGTTGGCGTACCTCCGGGCAACTGATTGCGACTAGTCTATGTACCATACTCAGCCTCATCCCGTCTATCCAGAGACCTGGGATATCCAGTAGCTCGTCGAAGGCTTTTCGAAGCCAGTTGTTATTGATAATTTGCTCCCAGCGTTGGCGATTAGATGATGATAAATGGGCCTTCCACCTTGTCCCAATAGCATGGTCATCGTCAAATTGACGGATTTTGCGATAGATATACCCATCTGTATGTTCTCGGTTAAGATCGTACTCTTCAACTAGGTGATCCCTTAGAGCATCGTCAACATCTATTACCGAGCATTCATTAGCATTCAATTTCTGCTTTTCTTACGATAGCAGTATCTCACCATCCAGATAGATATCCACGACCCACCACTTATCGGCTGGAGCCAGAAAATCAGCGGCCGCGTAAATCCGATGGCGTCCATGAAGACCCTTGATCTGGTTAGGATCGAATGTCATTGAAGGTAAATGGTTTGTTCGATTGTTCTTGAAACATTCTGGGGTCATCCCAATTCTGGCTAATGCTTGAGAGATGGCTTCGCTGGAGGCCAGGGCCGGGATATAGTTCTCGGCATCAAGCCTCCGGCAGCCGTCTTCCTTCCAAGTCTGTTTGAGTTTATCTATTTTCAGCCGCTCCAAGGCTATAGACAGTGGTGGATTAAATTCTATTTCCTCAAGTCTGACCCTGGCTGTACCTTGGTACTTCAGTCGACGCTCAGTGGCCACGTGCACTTCTCTGGTTGTGAGCCAATCTTGCTGCATGATGGAGTTCAAATTGATGATGATGAGAGATCCAGTGGCAATGGGGATGGGTTGATGCTTGACTTATACCTTGACGTAACCGGAACAAATCTAAGTCCATCTTCACTTCTCGGAGGGCATCATGAAATTACATATTATCACATAAAAAATTGTATTCGCACAATTCTGAATCTTTAAAGAGGGCATCACATTTATGGGGAATGTATAGGATATGCATGTTTGAGATCGAGTGGTGGCCATATCGATTGCAATTCGCTGAAACTTTTCATTGCCAGCATTGTCCAGTACACAGTACGGTTACGTACCTAAAGCTTACGAGGAATTGAAGATTGAATCAGAGGTTACCATAGTCATTCAATATTGTACAAATTCTGAGGTCTAGTCATTTAAAAAGGTGTCGCTGGTGCAAGAGCTGGGGGAATACACGAGACGGTGTATATTGATCGCATGGTCAACCCGAAAAATGCTGTCCTAATTTTTGTCTTGAATCAAATAATTGATTATGTTATGGCAATTAACTATTTTTAGTCGGTAGCACTTGTAGAAGCTGAAACATTTCCTGAGACTAAGTAGCTAGAGATATTGACCCACGTTTCTTGTATCGAAGTCCCCGAACGTCTACAAAGCGGTCCCTGGTTGAGACAGTGGCTACAGGCGATCTCGAATTCGGCTTGACCAACAAACACATCACTAATGTTTCTGAATCTTACTGCTAAGACTAGCGTCATTTTCTTATTGAGCTGCCCGTATTAAAGTTATGGGGCTGCGTAAAATAGTATGTTTCCAATACAAGTGTCTTACCAAATACAACACTCGTATTGCACACGGGACTCTAGTCATAATTAGTCAGATGGATATAATCTGGCATTGCACTAGAATCCCATCGAAATTTATCGTATACCGCCATTTCATCTTGATAGAGAGTCGGCTTCTCCATTAGAAATTCGGAAAGAGCTTCAAGCATAAGCGGGGTAATACTGCGTGGGCGTACTACACCAATGCGCGGTGCTCGGACGTCGCCGAATGTCTGCAGGTTGGAGCGAATATAGACGATTGACTGTTTGCTGCAGCCAGCGACGTAAGCCATCTGAGATGTTGTCAAGGAACAACTCTGGATCATGTGGTGTATTAGCTCCAGTTGTGCTGGTTTCAAACTAGGAGCCATCGTGCATTATGCGACATCTGTCAACTGTCTCATCAAGCAAACGCTCTACGCGACCACCAGGCCGATGTCGTGATCTTCGGATTAATTATATTCCGATCCTGCCAAGTAATCTACCCCTGTGCAAAAAATGCCCCACCACTCGGACTACGCCGTGCCGGATATCTCTTAACATTGACCGTAGCATCTAATACTGTATACCTGGTCTTCTGCTTCTTGTAAATCCTCAAGCCTCATTAATTTGACGATTGAGTAACAAACGGGTTTAAGATACTTTAGTTCACAGGAGGAGTCTTGGGACCACAACAAACCGCTGAAATTATGATTCTTGTAGTTACGCACGCAATGTTTGCTTTTTGTGGTGCGGGGTAGCCGAGTGTTGTGGTCAGGGGACTTGCATATAAAGGCCTCAAGTCTAGTCTCAAGTTGTGCGTCCTGTTATACGCACTCTCCTGAAATCAGCACTAACACAATGAATTCAGAAGCATCTTTTACCGGCTATAATACTGGATTCCAGGTCGGTCAGAATCCTGGGCAGATCAACAGTCAATTTTACTACAACTATTACAACCAACCTGATGATTCAAAGGTTAGTGATATAATCTGTAACACTGAGATAGTCGAAAATTGTATCTTGAAACATCAAGGAACTTATAGTTTTCTTCTATAATAGGCTATTGATCCCGAGCTTGATAAGCAGCGAATTGAAAAAGAGAAGGGTGGGCTTCTTCGGGACTCATACTGCTGGGTGCTCAAGCATGATAATTTCAAACGATGGAGAGATGCTGCTGTCGCACAGATGCTCTGGATCAAAGGTGATCCTGGCAAGGGAAAGACAATGTTGATATGCGGCATCATCGATGAGCTTTCGAAGACAGCTATTTACGAAAATATTAATATTGCCTACGTTTTCTGCCAAGCCACCAACAATCGGATTAACAGTGCTACAGCGGTTCTAAAAGGACTCATGCTTATGCTTGGTAGACACCAGCCTTCGCTTCAGGCCCACATTCCTACAAGGTTCCTTGACAACGAAAATGGCTGGTTTCAGCTATACAACGCCTTCCGGAAGATACTCCAAGACCCGACGCTGAAAAGTACTTATCTCATGATTGATGCACTGGACGAGTGTACTATTGATCGAAATAGACTTCTTGAGATTCTTGAGGAATATTCATCAGGATCTTCACATGTGAAATGGATTGTTTCGAGTCGAAACTGGCCGAGTATCGAGAGATATCTTAACAATACAACGGGAATTAGGCTCCAGCTTGAGTTGAACGAAGATAATCTAGCTGCTGCTGTCGAATCCTTTATCAAGTATAAAGTTGAGGAACTAACGAAGAGAAACAAATACAACCTGGAAAAGAGAAAGATGGTGGAAAATCACTTACAATCAAATGCAAAAGGAACCTTTCTCTGGGTGGCCTTGGTTTGCAAGCAACTGGATGATATCTCGCCAAGACATCTGCAAAAGAAGCTTAAAGATTTTCCTCCTGGGCTTCATGAATTTTACTGTCGAATGTTCAACAATATCCAGGATGTGAACGATGATACTGAGCTATGTCTGTCTTTGCTCGGAATTGTTACAACTGTTTATCGCCCCATAACCCTGGACGAGTTATCGTTAATTCTGGAATTACAGGAAAAGCTCACCAGCGAAGATCTCCAAGAGATTGTTAAACTATGTGGCTCCTTTATTACTCTTCAAAATTGCACAATCAAGTTGGTTCATCAATCCGCACAAGACTTTCTTCTGGAATACGCACCTCGGGATATAGCTCCTAAAGGGATACAATATATCCACTATTCCATCTTTTCGAAGTCTTTGGAAAGTGTGCATACGCACTTGGAAAGGGATATATACAATCTCAAAGATCATACACTTTCTATAAGTGAAGTCAGGCAGCCAGACCCAGATCCACTAGCTACAATGCAGTATGCATGTAGGTACTGGGTGGATCATCTCATTGACTACTTCAACATTGAAGAGACAACTGAAGAGCTACCGGAAACTAATATACTTAATTCTTTCCTGTGCCAGGACTTTCTTCACTGGCTTGAAGCTCTTAGCCTATCAGGAGGCATATCAGAAGGAGCGAAGTCGATACTTAAGCTTGAAGGTTCGTTAAAGGTATGTTACTATAAGTAAAGAAAAAGGACTGCTCTAATTCGATTTCAGACAAGAACAGCAGATGGAAAATTCATCCACAGGGTTCAAGATGCGTATCGATTTATCATATATCACAGGGTAATGCTAGAGCAGTATCCACTTCAAGTATACACCTCAGCAATATTTTTCAGCCCCCAGAGCAGCATCACAAAGATTCAGTATATGTCTGCGGAACTAGCATGGATAAGTGGAGCACGTGTTGTGGAAGAAAGCTGGGGCGCGTGCCTGCAGACACTTGAGGGTCACCATAACTGGGTCACCTCAGTGGTTTTCTCGCATGACTCCACGCGGCTCGCCTCGGCATCCAACGACAAGACTATCAAGCTGTGGGACTCCAGCAGCGGCGCGTGCCTACAAACCCTGGAGGGTCATAATAATTGGGTCTACTCGGTGGTCTTTTCACATGACTCGAAGCAAATTGCCTCCGCTTCCAGCGATGAGACTATTAAGCTGTGGGACTCCAGCAGCGGCACATGTCTGCAGATCCTAAAGGGTCATAATAACTCAGTCACCTCGGTGGCCTTTTCTCCTGACTCTATACAGCTCGCCTCCGCGTCCGATGATAAGACGGTTAAGCTGTGGGACGTCAGCAGCGGCGCGTGCCTACATACCCTGGAGGGTCATGATAACTGGGTCACCTCAGTGGTCTTTTCACATAACTCTAAGCAGCTCGCCTCCGCTTCTAGCGATAAGACTATTAAGCTGTGGGACGTTAGCAGCCGCGTGTGCCTTCAGACCCTAGAGGGTCACAATAAATCGGTCCGCTCAGTGGTCTTCTCTCCTGACTCCACACAGCTCGCCTCTGCGTCCGACGATAAGACTGTGAAGCTGTGGGACGTCAGCAGCGGTGCATGCCTGCAGACACTGGAGAGTCATCATGGGGCGGTCTGCTCGGTGGTTTTTTCGTATGACGCCACGCGGCTCGCCTCCGCGTCGGATGACAAGACTGTCAAGCTCTGGGACGTCAGCAGCGGCGCGTGCTTGCAGACCCTGGAGGGTCATGATAATTTGGTCCGCTCAGTTTCCTTCTCGCATGACTGCAAGCAGCTCGCCTCCGCATCTGAAGACAAAACCGTCAAGCTGTGGGACGCCAGCAGCGGCGCGTGCCTGCCGTCTCCGCAAGCTCTGGAAGATCATAGTAACTCGATCCGCTCGGTGGTCTTCTCGCATGACTTCACGCGGCTTGCCTCCGCGTCTTGGGACAAGACTGTCAAGCTGTGGGACGCCAGCAGTGGTTTGTGCCTGCATACCCTAGAGGGTCACAATAACTGGGTTATCTTAGTAGTCTTCTCGCATGACTCCACACAGCTCGCCTCGGCTTCTAGCGATAAGACTATCAAGCTGTGGGACTCGAGTAGCGGCACGTGCTTGCAGACCCTGAAGGGTCATGCTAACTGGATCCGCTCAGTGGTATTCTCATATAACTCTACACAGCTAGCCTCCGCTTCCGATGATAAGACTGTCAAGCTGTGGGACGCCAGCAGCGGCGCGTGCCTGCAGAC